AGTGTCTATGCCATGTGTCCACCCTCAGGTTCCACATCACCTTGGCCGGGTGTGCAGACACTGCCCATGGGAGAGTAGACAGGGCGGGTGGGCAGTAAACTGAAAACATGTCACAGTATGATGACCTGGGAGTAGAGACCAGTGACTCATAAACAAAGGGTTGTCCCCAAAATTTCAAATTTCTATAATCTCAGTTCTAGATGAAGAAGGCAGCTCTCATTCATGCACAAAGCCAGAGGACAAAACAAAATACAGTCCTTGCCCCAGTCCATCCACCTAAAGAGAGGCGGCTCTTCAGATGACTGGTGGTTTGTGGACACCCCACCACATACAGCAGCTGGCTTCAAAGATCCTTTTCCCTGTGGATTTTCTGCAAGAAAAGTTTTGATTCCCTTAGCTGATGAATATGATCCGATGTTTCCTAATGATTATGAGAAAGGAGTGAAGTGCCAAAGAAAGGAATGACAGACAGTGGGAGCTAGAAAGAGAAAAAAAATAAGTAGAAGAGAGAGAAAAGAGTCACAAGACAGACTTGAAGCTAGTAGGTTTTCAAGATGACGAGATAAAAATTCTGATGAAGATGCAGATTTTGAATGAGATAGGAGAAAAAAAAAAAGTATGGGCAGAGCTGCCATTGTACTTTCTACTTCTTTTGTACAGAAAGATGAAGAGTTACCCCAAGATTTTCCTTATGAAGAGGATTAAAGACCTCACTCACAGTCTTCCAAGGCTGCTATCTCTCTCACTGTATATGAGGAACCAGACAGAATCAGATCTCCCACTGGGCTGGGCAACTCCTTCCATGCCAACATGGGTGGCACAGTTGCACATAAAATCATGCAGAAATATGGCTTCTGGAAAGGCCAGGATCTTGGAAAGCATGAACAAGGACTGAACAGAGTTACCAGTAGAAAAGACAAGCAAGAGAGAAGGCAAAATTATTGTGGGTGATGCCACAGAGAAATGTGGATCTTTCCCACCACCAGTGTTTCCAGATGCATCCAAGAAGTCAGATTCAAATCCATTAACTGAAATACTTAGGTGTCCTAATAAAGTAGTCCTAAGGAACATGGTTGGTGGCAGGAGAGGTAGATGAAGATTTGGAAGTTGAAAGCAATGAAGAATGTGCAAAAACATGGCAAATATGGAAAATGTGTGATATTTGAAATTCCTGGTACTCCTAATGATGAAGCGATATAAGCATTTTTAAAATTTGAGAAGGTTGAGTCAGCAATTAAAGCTGTTGTTATCTGAATGGAAGGTATTTTGGTGGATGGGTGGTAAAAAAATGTTTCTACAATTTGAGGGCCCTCCCTGGTGGTGCAGTGGGTTAAAGCACTGCACTAAGAAGCTTAAGCCACTTCTGCATGAGTTTGATCCCCACCTGCCCCGGAGGAGACCCCCATGGCGAGGCAGACCTCTCCTGACCCGCCTGCTTCTCCCCTCAGCAGTGTACTTCGTAGATCTGCCTGTTTTTCACCCCACTCTGTCCCTGGTGAATTCTCTCACCCTCCGCATCTCTGGCCTGTACCCCAATTCTGAATGAATAAATAAATAAATCTTCAAAAAAATAGCTTTAACAAAATGTTTCTACAATTTGGATAAATTCAGGGTCTTGGATTGGGTGGAACAAGTTTGATTTTTTTTTTAAGATTTATTTGTTTATACAGAATTGAGATACTGGCTAGAGGTGCAGGGGCCATGAGAGGATTCACCAGAGACAGAACAGACCACAGAACAGACCGACTGAAGAACTATACAGCTGAGGGGAGCAGCGGGTCTGTCAGGAGAGATCACCTCTGGGGCAGGTGGGGATAGAACTCATGTGGAAGTAGCTATAGCTTCTTATTGCTGTGCTTTAACCCACTGCGCCACCAAGGAGGTCGGGGAACAAGTTTGATTTTAAGACCTAGAACACGAGTCATCTCCAATGATCCTTAAGTGAATAAGCCAGTCTAAGTGGCTGTTGGTTATAAAGTTTCTTGAAAAGACTTCTAAGATACACTTTTATTGGTCCCTTTTTTATTTTGTGGTTTCTTAATATAGTATAAAAATCCTTTAACCTTTTTAAAAATATATTTTCAGATTCATTTCTTTTAAATGGAAGATATCTATATCTATGGATTCAATTTACATTTGAATAATTAGCTGTTATATTTTATTAACAGCGAATCTATCTGAAGTACTCAGATTCTTTTATTATGTATAGTTGATCTAAATAAATATTAAAATTCCTTAATATTAAAGAACATGGATAAATGAAAATGGCATATTTACAGTTGATACAGACTTTTGCATTTATTTGCTATTCCAAGATAGCAAATGTACTTTCTGAAGTGTTTGAAAGGTGCCACAAAAGAAGGGGGACTATGTATGTTGACCTGGGAAGTTGGGACACTGTTTTCTGTGGTCTATGAAATGTCTCTGTCCCTACATGTCTGGTTCTCACACTCACATATATTCAGGAATGTGTGTAAGTCCTTCTCTGTATGGTCACATACACAGAAACAAACAGTTATATGCTCATGATTTTATTCTAAAACAATCACACCTAAGATGACCCAATGAATGAAAAAATCCTTTTTACCACACTGGTATTAAAACACAAGTAACCTGGGTTGAAATATTATTTCTCTCAATATATATGGATCATCCTCTTGATAAAGGAGTAGAGTTTCTTTTTATACACTAGGATTTCAGTAAAACTCGTGGCAATATACCAGCAATAGAGCAATAGGCTCTTTCTTTGTTTTCTCTCTGGAGTTTGTTAGGTAGGAAGATTATTTTCCTGTTTTCTTCTGAAATGTCCAATGTAACTCTCTGTGGGGGGTCACACATATATTTATTTTCTTCTTACACTACTTTGTCCACTTTTTTCTCATTGTAATGCAGGTATAAAACTGCTTAATGTGTTCTTGTTGCCATATTTCTTCATATTAGAAAAGAAGATAAGGATACTTGGGAAGTGTCAATCAGAACATAAAAATAATTTGCTCATATTGTTAGGAACTGGCTGAAAGAAAAGAGCTGTGTTTTTGAGTTTTGATTTGAAAAAGGAGGAAAGAGTATGGGATGTAAAAAAGTAGTCATAACGGCAATGAATGCAATGCTTAAGAAAGGTAACAGCCATTCATGATACAACAGAAGGTGACCATAGTGGTGACAGAATATATAAAACCAGGAGTGTACAAGATAGGATGGGAACAGGGGGTTAATGAGGCTGATTACCCCAGTTTTTAGTCTATTCACATATCACTGAAAACTTTCCAGGATCTATGAAGATTTAGAAGTCTAGTCAATTATGCACTGCATAGCAGTTCACATTTAACCAGTATGCCTTAAGAATAGTTTCAGCTTTCCATAGTGGTTGTATCAGCTTGCATTCTCACCAGCAGTGCAGGAGAGTTCCTTTATCTCACATCCTCACCAACATTTGTTGTTGCTAGTTGTTTTTTTAAGATGTGCCATTCTCACTGGTGTGAGATGGTATCTTATTGTGCTTTTAATTTGCATCTCCCTTATTACAAGTGATGTTGAGCATTTTTTTTCATATGTCTGTTGATCATCTGCATTTCTTCTTTGGAGAAATATCTTTGTAGCATTTTTTTGATGGGGTTTTTAATTTTATTTTTTTGTTGAATTTAATCAGCTCTTTGTATACCTTTGTATAATCAGTCCTTTGTCATTAGTACTGTGTGTAAATATTTTCTCCCAGTCAGTGGGGTGTCTCTTTGTTTTTTTTGTAGTGTCTCTCTTGTTGTGCAGAAGCTCTTTAACTTGACGTAGTCCCAGCTGTTTATCATTTCCTTCACTATCTTTGTTTTGGGTGATGTATCTTAAAGATATTGAGGTGTATGTCATGTAGTGTTTTACCTACTTTTTTTTCCTAGATATTTTATGGTTTTGAGTCTTATGTCTAGTTGTTTAATCCATTTCGAGTTGTTTTTTGTGCATAGTGTGAGTTGTAGTCTAACTTCATTTTTTTTTGCATGTAGCAGTCCAGTTTTCCTGGCATCGTTTGCTGTAAAAACTTTCTTTGTTCCATTGCATATTCTTTGCTCCTTTGTCAAAAATTAGCTTTCCATATTGAAAACTGTTTGGAGGTTTCTCAAAAGGCTAAAAATAGAGCTTCCATATGGCCCAGCAATTCTACTCCTAGGTATCTACCCAAAGGACACAAAACCATTGAATCAAAAAGACCTCACCCCCTCATGTTTATTGCTGGTCTATTTACAACAGGGAGGATGTGGAATCAACCCAAATGTCCCAAAATAGAGGACTAGATTAAGAAGATGTGGTACATATACATAATGGAATATTACTTAGCAAGCAAAAAGATTAACTCATGCCTTTTGCAGCAACATGGATGAAGTTGGAAGGCATCATGCTTAGAGAAATAAGCCAGAAAGATAAAGAAAAATACTGGATGGCTTCACTCATAGCAGGAGCACAAGGGATCAAGGGAAAAATGAGAGAGAGAGACAAACAAATGTAATAGTAAAACTGAAAACAACAAACAACTATAAATCAGAGATATTGTATGGGAATGGAAGAGGGGATGGGATGGGGACTGGGGTGGAAAGAGTGCACTGGAATGTGATGGCACATGGGTGAATTGATGGCGGGAAGTCCATGGAGATTACAATTGAGATGAAAAAATGCACAAAATGAAGAATGATGTAAACAAATAAATAGTTTCAGCTCCAGTAGTATAGGTATCCTGACACTGCATTTTCAATTTTCTTTCAACTAGACTGATACTTTGTAGGACATCTGTGTAGGACAAAAGGAAAGGCAGAGGAAGTTTATCTGAAGATGGTATAATGAGTTAAGTGGGGATCCCATTACCATTTATTCCTGTACAAAGCCATATGGATCGAACTGAACCCATTAAAGACCAAGCAACATTAAGTCCAGTGTCTAGGAAATAGATCTGACTGCACAAGAGGCAGGGCCTATACACTTGTGAATGATGAAGCAGGGGAAGATGGCGGTGTTACCTCTCCAGCGCTATAGCTTCGGAGCCTCTGGAGGTGCTGTCGATGTGTCAAATGACTGGGAAGACGGCCATTCTGAAGAGGTATTCTGGGGTCAATGAAAGTAGTAGCTCGACTGTTGTGGTCCACAAAGAAAGACTGTAGACAGACCAGTAAAAAAAAAAAAAAAGCACACTGAATGAAATGAAGTCAATAGGGAAATCAGTAGGGTCCAGTCACATTTATTCCTCGCCTTGCTTTTATTTTGTATTAATTTTTATTAAGATAACATTGGTTTACAACATTGCATGTGCTTTAGAGAGGAATAAATTTATGCCTCTTCACAAATAAGTTATCATACCATACCCAACACTAAAGCACCCAGAATTGTCCTTGGGACCCCTATCATCTTTGTTCTCATCCCCAAGCCTCTAATTAGGTAACCTGAATGTAGACTGTCATATTATTAGGCCTGGTTTTGATTTACTTTTCTATAGCCCTTGTTTTCTTTCTTGATATTCCACATGAGTGAAATAACTGGGTATTTTCTTTTACCTGCTGAGTTATTTTAGTTAGCACAATTTCCTTCAGTCCTTCCATTTTGTTGCAAATTTCAGTTTCATTTTATCTCTTGTTATAGCTGAGTAGTCTTCTATGCTTATGTATATCACTCTTCTTTATCTAGTCATCTGTCATTGGACAGTTAAGTTGTTTCCTTAACTATTGTCAATAGTGCTACAATGAAAATCAGAGTGCATATATCCCTTAGAATTAGTGTTTGGACGTTAGATAGTATCTCTTAGTGCTGTTGATTTACATTTCTCTGAAAATAGGTAATGATGAATACTACTTTTTAATGTGTCTACTAGCTATTGGTATATTTTCTTTGGAGGAATTTATATATTCAGCTCTCCTCCCTATATATTGATTGGAATAGTTTTCTTTTTGTTGAGTTGTATGAGTTCTTTGTAGGTCTTGAATATTAGCCCCTTGTGAAATGTATGACATATGTCCATCTTCTCCCAATCTACAATGTCTTAAGTTTCATGATAATTTGCTTTTCTGTGTGAAAACGTTTGAGTTTGAGGTTATCTCATTTGCTCATTTTTGTTTTTACTTTTCTTGCTTCTGGAGTTGAGAAATCAAGGTATTTGTGAAGTCAATGATGTGTGTAGTGTTTTGCCTAAGTTTTCTTCTATGTATTTTACAGTTTCAAGTCTTAAATCCAAGTCTTTTATTCATTTTGAGTTAATTTCTGTGTATAGTGTGAAATGGTCCTCTAGTTTCATTCTTTTGCATATGACTGTCCAGTTTTACTAACACCATTTATTTAAGAGACTTTATTTCCCCATTGTGTATTCTTTGCAGCTTTGTCATAGAGTAACTATCCATATAAACGTGGGCCCAGGTCTTTTCATTCCATTTCACTGGTTTGTATGACTGTTTTCATTCTAGTACGATAATATTCTGATAACTACAGCTTTATGGCATAGTCTGAAGTCTTGGAGTTTGATGTGTCCATTCTTTTTTTGACAGGATTGCTTTGGTTATTCATGTCTGTGGTTCCATAATGTCACTAATGTTCACTCTTTTGTTGAAGAATGCCACTGATACTTTGTTAGGTATCTCACTGAATCTGTATTTTGCTTTGAATGAGATGACAACTTTAATGCTTATTCTTCAAATTTATGAGCAGGGAATATCTTCCCATTTCTCTGTGTCTTCTACAACTTATAGTCTTATAATTTTTATTATACAGTTCTTTCATTTCTTTGTTAAATTTATTTCTAGATATTAATTTTTTATTAAAAATGGGCCAATTTTTAAAATTTTTTCTCTCATATACTTTGTTGTTTGTGTATAGCAATGAAGCAGATTTTTGTGTATTAATTTTGCAGTCTGTCACTTCTTTGTGCTCTTTTGTCTCTAGTCATTATTTTATAAGATATTTATTTATTTATGCACACATAACTGGGGAACAGGTCAGAAGGGGAAGTGAGAGGATTCACCAGAGGCAGTGTGGGAGCAGAAGAGGCAGATCAATGAAGTACACTGCTGAGAGGAGCAGAGGGTGGTCAGGAGAGGTCTGCCATGGCAGGTGGGTCACCTCGTGGTAGGGACTGAACTTGTGCAGAAGTGGCTTTAGCTTCTTTAACCCACTGTACCACCAGGGAGGGCCCTTGTCTCTAGTTATTTTTTAGAGGAGTCTTTATGCTTTTCTATGTACATTATCATTTTATCTACAAGTACTGACAGTTTTTCTCTCCCAGTTTGGATTTCTTTCATATCTTTCCCTTGTCTAATTGCTAGTACTGCAAATACTATGTTGATAAGCAGTGGCAAGGTATACAAATTTGTCTTACTCCTATTCATAGAGGAAAAGCTTTTAGATTTTCACTGAGTGAGATGTCAGTTGTGGGTTTGTTATAGTCTTTATCTTGTCTAGGTATGTTCTTTCTATCTCCATTTTCTTGAAACTCATTTTTCAATGTCTGTATGTTAATTGAAAGATTTGCACTTGATCTTAGCCAAAGGCTGAGAGACAATCATCATTGAAATATTTGCTAGCACTTATTTAAATGGAGCACTTTATCAAAACTTAGAGTGACACATGTACATGTACATAATGATATATATAATTCCATATAAATCACATTGAAATACAATGATTTCTAAATGACACTATTAAAATTGACCATATTGAGAGCACAGAATCCTACATGGTAATGGGAAGTCCATGGGGATTACACTGAGATGAAAAAATGTATAAAATGAAGAATAATGTAAAAAAAAAAAGACCATATCGAAACATTATTTCCATTAAATGAGCATGATGTTTCTTTTAAAAATATTTTTGTATCTTTTATTGTACTTGTTTACAATTTGGTATAGTTTAAGGGAATAATGATGGTCATAGTATGATGGGCATAATAGTCTTGGTTAATCTTCTGTATATTTGAGTTGTCTGCTATCAATTTTCTGTTATATCTCATTCTGCTCATTATATTTTTCTCCTTTTTTTTTATTAGTGAGTCTAACTAGATGTTGTCTCTTTATTTATATTTTAAAAGGCCCAACATTTGGTTTTACTGACATTTGAAATTTTTGTTTCTTTTCATTTATTTCCAGTCCAATTGTTCATTATTTCCTTCTTTAATTGGATATTGTTTTTGTCTTTCTTTTTCTAGTCCCTGAATAAGTTGGGTTTCATTGTTTTTTGAGATCTTTCTTGTTTCTTGATGTAGACCTGCATTGCTGTATAATTCTTTCTGAATGTTGCTTTTGCTGTGACTCATAGGATTTGGTTGCTCACATCTTCATTTTAATGTATTTCTGTGTATTTTTTATTATTTTTTAAGCCCAATAATCAGTTGGTAGCATGTTGCTTGGTTTCCATATATTCGAGGTTCTTCCCATTTTCTTTTTGTGGTTATTTATAGTTTGTTACCATTATGATTAGCAATGATTCTTGATATGAAATTATGAATTTATTAAAATTATGAAGTTAAAATTATGAAATTAAAATTTAATATTAAAATTACAAATTTATTGACCCTTGTTTTATGTCTCAGCATGTGGTCTCCAATCTAGCATGTTTCATGTGTACCTAAGGAAAAAGGTGTACTCAGTTTTATATCTCATAAAAAATGTGAAATAACTCTTAACTCCAGACAAGTGTTTCCTTGTGAATTTTCTGTCTGGTTTATCTGTCCATTGATATAATTGTGGTGTTGTAGTTGTCTACTAATATGGTGTTACTGTCAATGTCTGCTTTTGTATTTGTTAATGGTTGCTTTATTTATTTGATACTTCATTTGGTGCAAAATATTGAAGTACTGATGAATGTTATATCTTCCTCATAACTAAAAGGTATAAATTCCTTCCACTTCTGTTTGTCTGGGGAGGATTTTCTTTATTACTGATACTTGAAAGAACATCTTTCTCTTTATAGCGTTGTTAGTTCATCTGTTTTATATTTGATTTTTTTTTTTACAACATCACTTATTCTCTGTTTGCTTTTTGAGTTTCTGTTGAAAACCTGATGGGAGTAGCTTTATTGTACTTGCTTTTACCATCCTTCATTAGTCTTTGTCTTGAAGGCTTTGTGATTTCACTATTATGTGGACAAAAGAATACATCAAACAAATTATAGAGTGGAACACATGGGTTCAGGGATCTTGGTAAAAGTTGTGGCATTACATTTTGTGGTTACAGGAAGCCTTAGTGAGAAGGTAAGAAACCATTGTATTCTTTGTTCTAGTCCTATGTGCCTCTGCTCTCAGACACCTTATCTTTGTTCTCTGTGATGGCAACTATACATTGAAAGATTCTAAACCACTCAGTCCCAGCCTTTTTATTCCTACCATAGTGCAGAGTAAAAGTGAAGGTTTTTGCCTCTATGCTGATAAAACAAGAAGTAGATTAGCCAGAATGAGATATAAGAAGACAATCTAGTATTCTGGAACAAGCTCCATCCATCTATGAAGCTGAATTTTGCATAGTGAACTACTGTTTCACCATTTTTCAGTGGGTGATATTCCATGATCCCTGTCTCCTATGGGGCATGTTTTTTCCAGGTATGGTTGAGATTCTTAATATAGTGCAAAAACATTTTTCAAAGCCTATCTCCACCCCATTATCAATTGGTTTTAACAATTTGGTACACTTTGATTTTCCCAAGTTGTCATTTTTGACCCTCCTCCCCCCCTTTTTTTGTGAATATTTCCTTTAACATAATGTGAAAGAATAGCAGATACTATGATATTGTCATGAATTTCCACATTAGTTTGTTTACTCTTTACCTTTGTTTAAAAACAAAGGCAGTAGTAGCATTACTGATACTTTTTGATAAGCAAAGGGAGGCTCATAAACGTAAAATGATTTTCCCCAGGTTCACACACTTTGAATGAGAATGGTCAGTCCTTGTATTCATGTCTTCATACTCCTGTTTTTCCTCCATTGTTCTTCATTGTGATAGAGCATTGAAATTTAAGGTTACTTCCCCTCAGTAACTCAGTACATTGTATACCTCTCAGAAATTTTGTTTGCCACCTGTGAGTCTGTGTATGCATGCTCAGTAAACAGGCAATCAGAGCGAATACTGTGCACATGTGTGTAAGTACTCATGTAGCTCGTTTGTGTCATAACTAAAAGTACTCATGTTTCCTCATTCAGATTTATATTTTTTTTCTTTCTTGAATTTGAAACCATAATACTAAACAGAATTAGGGGGAAATCTCTTACCAAAACTTCCCTAATGAGCATTCCAAAACAACTAAAGGGATGGTGCATGTTTCAGTGGTTATGCTTTCTACTAGTATGCTGGCCAAGACACGATGAGTACTATTGACAACCTGGGCTGATGGCATTTGGATGCTTCCTGGGCTCCCTGCTGTTTGTACCTGGTGTGAGAGCTGCAGTCATGGAAATCCAAGGTTAAGCAAGCTATCTGCAATAGGATGTGTCACTGGCATAATAAACACTGTCTTTCTGTTGCTTGATTCATGTGTTGCCCCCTTGGCATTGTGGTGAAGCAATGAATGTAATGTGCCAACTGAGGTGCTGCAGTGCTGAGATGAGGCAGGGTGCTCCAGTCTGGTAAGATGTCCTTTAACATTCTGTTCCTGCTCAGGCTTTATCTCTCACTCTGTATTTATCATAAAGTCCCCCAGTATAAAGCAATACATTCTCCCAGTAGAGACAGGGGGACAGATTCTGACTATAGGGACTTTTCTGATACATAAGACATTTCCCTCCAACACTCCCCACTGCAGATGTGCTGCCATAGTGCTTCATTTATACCAAGGGATTTGTATTAGTGAACACGTTAGTTCTGTATATACACCAGTCTGGATGCTGATGCTAAGGTGTTTTAGGGGAGAGGGGTTTATGAGTCCCAGAGACAATGAAACCCATCAGAGCACTTAAAAGATTTTTGAGGATTACAATCATAGAGAAAAGGAGTTGAATAATGATGATTCCTTCTGAGAGACAATACTTTAGCTAAGAAGTATTCTCTACCACAGCTCATAAAATATTACACAGGGACAACTCTTTAGTAAAGTGTTTGACCTGTCCTATAAATATTTTGAGATGATTGATGGTAATAGAGAAAAAAACACCTTGAGTTATATTTCCAAAGCAGCACTGAGAAAGATCAGTTTCAATTAATGTCACATCAATTTTGGTTAAATACAGCCTGTGCTTATTTACCAGGTTGTTTTAATGGGAAGTGAAGTCTTAGGGAAATCACAAGTTATCAAAAATACTATTCTCCTTTAAATTATTATCTCATGGATGGAGTTAGCTGTCTATGGAGGCAAAAACAAAGCACTGTCATTGAACAGAATTGTTTGCAAGCTCCAAACTGATGGCAACATGGCCTAGGACTGCACTGGTATTCCCCAGGCCATCGTGGCCTGTTTTGACAATGGTGATCACAGAAATTGCCTGCCTGACCTCAGCATAGTTCAGGTCTGGACAGTAGGCCTAGGTATCACTTTTGAATAAAAGGCATTATAAAAAGACAAAGTTATGAGTGCCCATAAGTGTCTATAATGTGACCATTGTGTGTGGTCCATTATAAAGAGGCTGATCAGATTCAAGCTTGACCTGTACTGTCAAACAGCTGGAATCCTAAATGGACCAATCAGGCTTGAAAGAAAGAAACCTGGAGGGAATGCAAGCTGAGATTTGAGAGGTCATCAGACTCATCTGGACCTTCTCTTGGAAAGACCGTCACAGAAAAATTCATTTGGGAGACAGATTAGGACCTAGGCCTTTGAATCTGATCTCTGCTTCAAGCTAGAGCCTCACCAGTCTTGTCTCTGGCTCTGCTCCTGACATTGCCTATCAAATGACACGATGGGCCTGTGCCTGGTGTCTTTAAAAGAACTGTCTGTTGTATATATGCCAACAGCTCTCATCAGGCTGTAACACTGGTCCCTATTCTTTGGCACCATTGCCTGCTGACCAGTACTTCTGCCCTGTGACTGGCACTACTGCCCTGTCTGTGACTGGCACTATTGCCCCATGTCCAGCTCTCTGAGAGCTATCCACTGTTACTGATCCTCCAGCACCACCTCCTGATGCTATTGCCTTTAATACACTCTGGTCTCACATCTGGCTCTGGTCAGTTTGGCCTTTGGGTGGTGTGGCTGGTGGTTATAGTGCCATCTCAGCACACAACCTGTGATCTCCAGCTACTGAGGTCCTTGGAACCTGGTTGACCATTTACCTCTGTGCCTCCAGGCTTTTGTTGAAGAGACATTGCAACTTGCAATAAATAGCCTTTGGTTTGCCATGGACACTCTAGGGTAGGACGTCTGGCCACTGTGACCTTAGAAGCTCTTTTCTTTTGCCTGATTACCCCTTTGTTAATAAGCCCTGCTGTTGCTCCCTGAGCCTGAGGGGTGTCTTGCAATCATGAGGACAAAGGAGAGCACACATTGATCTGTTCCCCAGGTTTTGCACTGCTTTAACTGTAGTTCTCCACTGGGCATGATTTATTCACTTTCCTCTAAGGGCTACAGAAAGGTCATACTTAGTAGGAGTGCTATTGGTAGCAGTGAGCAGAGGCCAGGGATACTGCTAAACATTCTACGATACATGGGACAGAAACCCTGTTGTGGACACTTACCACCTCTTTTTCTTGGTGGCCAATAGCACATCTTTGAGATACCAACTCTACTCTCACTTCCTCCTGATTCTTCTCCTCTAGGGAAATGCCTCATTTCTGTTTCTGTGGGTGAGAGATCCACAGTATATTACTCACCTTTCCTTGCTGGTCTGTTTTGATCTCCCAGCCCCGGGGCAATTCTAGCCTCGTATCTGCAAACATATTGATGAAATTCACCAAGTCCCGGTTGTGCTGGTAGCGTTCAAAATTCCGTGCATCCCTCCGGACTTTCAGAATCATGTGCTTTAAGCAGGTGCTACTGGTGAAGACTCGGTAGGCACTCTGAGGTGGGGTCAGGCCATTCGGGGTAGGGGGGATTAGAGAAACACATAGTAAGTACATTTTGAGCATCTCAACATAGTATAATATGATTACTACACAGAAATTTCTTGTCAGTCTTGAGATGGAGGCATCTGAAACAGGCATCTTACTAAAGTAAATCACATCATAAACATACATGGAGACTTGTATGGAATTCCCATTATACCCCCTGCTCAGCACCTTGGACCTCATCAACCTCTCAAAAACTCCCCTACCTCTACCTCTTTTCTTCTCTAGTTTTCCTCTTTCTCAGAACAAGTGCTAGGCTCTCTTGAGTATATCTTGACATTTCTGAGATCCTTCCTCCAATCCAACACTTCAGTAACTACACCAACCTGTCCTTGGTCAACTTATATGTCTATAACTAAGAATACTAATTTAGTGTCTCTGGGGATTTAAGACTGGGATGCAAGGATCTATCACTCCTTTGAATTCCACATAAAAAATTTTTAATGTGGTGGGATTAGAGGATGAGAAGAAATTAAAGTTTTAAATTCTGTCAAATGACAACCTTATGGTACACAGACCTGATGAATATATGGGGAATGGACAGACTGCTTGCAGTGTGAGGAAGTCGCCATTGCCCTGGTGCTCAAAGCTGAGGATGTCAGATTTATTTTTATTGTCCCTTTTTATGCCTCATGCCTGTACCACTGGGGAGCAGTTCTGGGACCTGTGGGACCACTGCATATCACAGAGTCATCTTAAATAAAACTTGCTAAACACTGGTTTCCTCTGCCTTCCACATCTTCATCACTTAATTAGTCTTCTTCACCTGCTTATTGAAGTCACCATCTAACTTAGGTGCTCAAATAGAAAAGATTCAGATTTTCTTGAGTCCTTAGTTACTGTCCCATTTCAATCATAATAGTCTCAGGCACTACTGAAGTGGCACACAAATATATCCTGAAGTAAGTCATTTCTTTGCAAGTTCCTAGTTGTTTCCTAAGTCAAGCAGTGATCATCTCTCATTTTTGAAGTTGAGTTAGTCTCTCTTTAATCTAGCCTCTCAGACTCTCTCTATTACTCTGCCAGAGAAAATGCTTCTACCAATCACCAGGGGCATGCCACCCCAATCTTACTGGTGTTTCTTGCATCCTACTAAAGAAGGTCGGGTTCCTTTTAATGACTTGCCAGGCATTTGGCTATTTTTTTTTAAGATTTATTTATTTATGAATACAGAACTGGGGTACAGGCCAGAGGTTCAGGGGTGGTGAGAGGATTCACCAGAGACAGAGTGGGCAGTAGAACAGGCCGACTGATGAAGTACAGTGCTGAGGGGAGAAGTGGGCAGGTCTGGAGAGGTCTGCCATGCCATGTGGGTCACCTCCAGGGTGGGGATTGAACTCATGCTGAAGTGGCTCTAGCTTCTTAGTGTTATGTTTTAACCTGCTGAGCTACTAGGGACAGCCATTGACTAATTTTAAGCTCCTCTTCCCACTTTTGCCTGTCACCATGATCCAACCACACAGACCCTTCAGAGTTATGTCTCCTCTCCCTTTACCTGTAACTCTCTCTGCACTCATTTTAAACATTCAAAACTCAATTCTAATGTCCTACCATAGAAATGATTCCCAGTGATCCACCCTGTATTTCTAGAGCTTTTTGTTCCTCTCTGGGGGAAAGGTACTGCGCTCTTTTTATGTGTACGTTGTTACACAAAGTGGGAACCTCCTACTGTTATCCTAACTTGTGATTGTGACTCCAGTCCTCAGATCTATGCTTGAAATACAGGAAGTGACTGTTGTCTGAAGGAAATGACACCACACTATTGTTCTCTTTAAAACACCTCCATATAGAAATGAAAAAACTCCGTATGTAAAAGTCATATCAAATGTATCTTAAGGATGACATTTGAAACTAATTACAATAAAAAGAAATCAAGCTATCTAGTATAAATCTATTTTAAAGTTTCTTTAATGAAAGTACTTTTGTAAAATGATTTAGGCTAAAATAAATCTATTTCATAATTTTGTTCCTTTAAATTTATAACAATCATAAAAGTATGCACTTATTTGCAAATGACTTTCACTGCACTGATATTAATATATATGAGCTTTCCAAAAACCTCAAGAAGAAATAACATTTCCAAATCCATCCTTTTCAATTGGGGAGAATCACAGATATTAAAAAGAATGGACTGAACATTCTTATATTTTTTCTTGCACTGCTTAAATTATTCTCTCTTTAATTTGTCAAATAGCTTTGTAAATTGTATTTTGGATCTTGACAGATGCCAGGCCTGGCTCTCTTGCATTGTGGAGCACTCACATAATTGGCATGAAGAACAGTGAAGAACTCAGGGTTGGTGATGAACTTGACCGCTGGGGACTGTAGCAGCAATGTGATTTTTTGTGAGTTTACTGGAGAAAGTGATCCTTCTCTCCTCATATCTGGAAAAAGTGAAGCAAAGCAACACAGTATATTGAAAAAAAGTAATTTAAAACATAATACTACTCTCTCCACACTGGCAGCACACAGTTTTTACCTTCACAGTGACAGCAAACTGCTATTTTAAAGTGATCTAAACAGCTATCAAAGTTATCTGAACAGATAGCATATCAACATGTGTATGTCAGTTAAGAATTAGTATATTCTAATGATCTTCCTGTATAGCTTCAGGTAGACTGAAGTCATTGAACTCAAGAAAAATACTTTGCTCATATATTATTTGCAGAAAGAACCACACATCCTCTCTGCCCTGTGTCCACAGTCATCTACACGGCACTGCAGTTTATTGAATCATGCTGACCCCTTGCTTCATCAGACAGAAGTTGGTAGAGGTGACACATGCTAGATTTGAGGTCAGGTTTTAAGAGGCCTATTGCAAGAGAAAACGTCATACAGAGCAGGGTGGGATCCCCTGCTGAGGCCATCTCCAGTCAGCCAACCCACATCTGCTTTGACAGCTGATGTCCTGAGTAACCAACTAGCTCAGCTCAGATTGTCCACCTGAAGAGTTGTGGGGGAAGTACATGATTATGAGTTTAAGCTATTCAGTTTTGGATTTGTTTTGTTACAACAACAAATACCAACTAATCCAATACTAAACCCAGAAAAGTATACTTATTTTCCCCATGCTTCTAATTATTTTATGAAATGAAATACTTTTACCATATCTCCCTCAGAAAGGCACATAAATTAATAATAGAAAAAGCCAAGCTACTCCATTTAGTCACTATATCTGATAACAGATGAAAAGAATAGAGGTAAAATTGTTGGTAAAATTCTGCATGTGTATTTAGAAGCTGCCTGAAAACGTGCAGTACTCAAAGTTGCCACAGAAAGCTGAGGACCGGCTGGACTTGAGGCACATGCCAACTTGCTTAGACTGTTCAATGACCTTCCTTTTTGCAAATAAATTTGCCATCATTTAACCCAATTAAAAAAATGAAGTATATTATTAGGATGTCATAAGCTTAAATCACCTTGAAAGCTAGACTACTAGGTACACAAAGCAGAAGCTTGTCTCCTATGCTGTTTGAATATTCTTGAATTCCATGCAGTTTCACCCTGGTGGTGAGCCAAGTACTAGTTATTTGTGAACTGCTATTTAGATAGCGATGAGCATAACCACACTGTTAGACAAACTTTACTTGCAAGTTTCTCCCTTGGGAAAATTGCTTTATATTTTCACTGCAGATAAGTAATTATTCCTGTGGTTCCTTTGAAGTAGACTGCATTTTCTGAATGTTTTATTTGTACAGGGAAAACCCTTAGGGCACCAACAAATAAATGTACTTACAAGAAATGATTAAACTACTGAAAAAACCACCTTGAATCGTAAGAACCATAGCAAACCTATTCTGTCTCCAGAGTCCTGCCCTTGATGCTGAGTTTCTGTACACTATAAATCCATTTCTCTTCTTCCTGCTTCACCTCAATTGGCACCAAACCTCTTTCTTCTCCACCCACTCATTACACTTCTCTCTACACACACTAACAAGTGGTCCTCCACAAGAGACTCACATGCTGTCCCAAAGCCACTGGATGTCATCCTAAGAGCCAGGGGGCCCTGTCCCCATACCTAAGCTTGACTGAGAAGATTCGGCCTCCGAGTCACTCCCACCACCTCCAGTGCCACCTCCTGTTGGGATCTGCTCACAACTTTGGCTGCCAGAATCTTCTTCAGGCCTCTCTGTTGCAATGGTTCGCTGGATATTTTGATACCTTTACATCAGAAAATAGAAAATCAGGAGTTATGCTTTGTTTGTTGGCTTGTTGGGGGCTGATGCACTGAATCAGATAATAATAAATACTTATATTCAATGTCAGGATTCAATGCTAAAGCTCTATAGAGAACCAAACAGAAATATACATGAATGAACTGACTTCTTTCTGTTTTGTAAGCTACAATGAGTCTCAAGTATAGTGACTTTGAAAAAGCTACATAAACAGCACCTGCTTTATGTGAAACAGGATGAGGCTAAGTAAAAACAAATGAGTACGACAACTTAAAATGTTACTTCTAGGATATCAAATTACCTCTATATTATTATAATTAGTCTATACTAATTATAGACTAACAACCTATAAAATAGCTCTCATTTTTATTTGACAGATATCTGATAAGACTGGCAGGGGTTGTGGAAATATGATACACCGAAAACATGCTGGCAAACAAATGTGTTTTTTGCTTATTCAAAGGCTCATTATACTTATTTTCCTAAATTGAGGAATTAGTCATTTGGTCAGCTTTTCAGTCACTTTAGGTACTTAGTGAATAGTATCTAAGTCTTCCAATATGACCTGGCTCCATGCTAGACTTTCAGATCAATGAAAAGACTAGAATATAGCATTGCCCTCTGATCATAATGGGGAGAGATGACACATAAATGAGAAAAAAGATTTTCTAGATATATGTGAAAGACAATGAAACATTTCAGGTTTATATTTTTTGAAGTCAGAATCTGAATTTGTTATCAACTTGCAAGGAAAGACACGAGAAAATAACATGAACGAGAGTTTACCCTTGGACATCTCTAAGAATTGTGCTGGTGGTATCAGGACTTGGAGACATCAAGTGCCAGTCATTGGCCACCATCAACCTCCAGATGTATTTGTCCAGCCATAGCCATCCTTTGATGGCAACTATGAAAGAACCACCTCATCAAACCATGTCAACTCACAACCATAAGAAATATGACAACAATGATGGCAATAATAGTATTATTAACAAGTAATCCTTAGTTTTACTATCCAGTAACAGATCTCTGAAACAGGGCTTAGACAAATGTCAAGTTGAACCTTTTTTCCTCCCCAAGGGCAAAGACCACAGAAGGCAATTTCAATGAGCAAATTTCATCTTTTTTGATGATGAAAATGGCAGAAGTATTACCATCTGCTTTACATGTCCTCAGTTGGATCCTGGTTATCTCATCCCTAATTGACTCAACACCCTCAAATCCTAGGTTTTGGACCTTTTCTGATGTGCAGGTGCAGTTTATGGGAGGCAGGACAGTGTTTGAGGAGCGGCCCCTTAATGAGGGCAGAACTGCAGCCTCAGAGTCTCACTCCACTTTACTGATGAGAAAGTGAGTCAAAATCCAGTGTTCTTCTATTTCATCAAGAATTGCTCTTCAATGTTCCCCCTCATTTTATTGCTTTTCACTAATAGGTCAATATTTATATAAAGTTTTTCTAAAAATTGTTAAGTCTAATTTGTAATATTTAATTTCCTTTTTATTATTTTATATAGTTTTAACATCTTTCTTCATTTTTTTAAAAGATTTATTTATTTATGCATACAGAATTGGGTTACAGGCCAGGGGTGCTGGGGCAGTGAAGGGATTTTCCAGAGACGGAGTGGGGAGCAGAAAAGGCAGACTGACAAAGTACACTGAAGAGGGGAGAGGTCTGGCCTGGATTGAATTAGTGCTAAAGCAGCTGTAACTAGCTTCCTAGTGCTGCTCTTTAAATCACTGTTCTACCAGGAAGGGCCCCACTCTTCATTTTCATCAAATGTATGCTTTATCATCTTGGGTATAGTCCCCATGAAATTTCTACCACCACTTCACCTGTGTACCGCCACCACTTAGGCTCTTCCCATCCCTGATGGACACATACACACACAGGCACATGCACGCATGCGTGTGTGCAGACACCCAGGAAAAAACCCTTCCAAAAACAATTCATACTATAATAAAAAGAAAGAAAGCATAAGAGCAATCAATTCACTTCGAAGAAACTACTAGTTTAAAAAAAAAAAAAAGCTTATGGATGCAAAAGTTGACTCTTCCTCCAGGAAGTAAAACCTAATAAGTACCAAAATATTTGTAATACTTCTAATACCCCCCCCACCAAATGAGATGAATATTGAAGTAATAATAGTATTGTTTTTCGAGTGAATTTGTGGAACCATTGTAGTAAATATTTATGAATTGATAATAAACACCAAAACTATGTTTATTTCTCTTAGCCTTCTCTTTTGAGAGCATAACCCTGAATAAATACTTTTCTGCATGGGCTTCCCTGGTGGCCTAATAGTTAAATCTCAGTGCCATCACTGGTGGGGCCTGAGTTTGATTCCTGCCAGGGATCATGGCAAATGATGGCAAAGCAGACCTCCCCTGACTTACCTGCTGTTCCCCTCAGCCACCTATGTCAGTAGATCTCCCTGTTCTGCTCCCCACTATGTCTCTGATGAGTCCTTTCAACCCCTCCCCATGTACCACAGGCCTATACTACAGTTTTTCTCACATAAATAGAAAATAAATAAATCCTAAAAAAAACTACTACAAAATAATCCTTTCTCAAAATATTGAATGAAAACAATAAGCAAAGTGTCCAACAAAACGCAAAATTAAGTTAACAAAGGTAAATAAGTTAGAGAAAAATCTAGAGGACCATTTCAGTGAAGAATATGTAACCTTATCATACATTATATTGAAATAAATATAAAACTATATATTCCCATCTAACTATGTAAAGCCTATGCATATATGTGGAAATTGAGGATAAATAAAATGTTTTATCAAGCTATTAATAAAGTTATAGATATGATTTTCTATTTAAAGCTTCAATTTGTATTAATATAATAATTTTACTAAAATAACTAAAAATCCATCTTTTGTTGAATATTTAAAAACAGAAATTTTTTTTTCTTGTACAATAAATAGCTGTAAAAGTTGAGTTTTTAACTCAGGATATCCTGAAAGTATAGTTAATAATTCAAGAAACAGTCATAGTCAGTTCTTTAAGCTTCTGGTGCTACCCCAGATACTGGGAGGACAGGAGGAGCCTTCGAGAACAAAGTAGAAAGGTAGTTGAAGCAGGGAGTGTTGAAGTAGCAGTCATGGGATGTGTGAAGGATTTGGGGAAATTTCCAGGGAATTCATACCCACAGTTTAGATGTTTGTAAGATGGGAAAATGTGTGCCAGATGGAAGCAATAAAGACCAAGGAGAATATATATGTTGGAGGACTCGCAGGGTATGGTCATTGCTTCTGTGTGCTCCATCAGGAGTCAAAAGAAACTTCTTGCATTTATGGTTTGCTGTGACAGGAACAGTTGCAAATTTCTCATGATAACTGTAGGTTATCAAAAGTGACCTTTAGGTGTGATTATTTCTGAGATGGATTATTTCTGAGATGGAGAAAGATGGCAGTATACTTACTGTGGCTGCCACCATCATCATTATCATGTCAATCACTGAAAAATGCTAAATGCTTAAAAGCAATAGGTTAAGATAAGTGCTAAAAAGCAGTTACGTATTTCAAGGTTGCATTACTTTCCCTAAATTACTTTTTTTCCATAAGAAATAATCAAGATAGGGAAACAACCCAAATGTTCCAATATAGACAAATGGATCAAAAAGTTGTGGTGTACTCATATAATGGAATATTACTTAGTGATCAAAAAAGACAAATTCATCATTTGTAGTAACATGCATCCATGTTACCTAGAAGGAATTATGCTAGCTGAAATTAATCAGAAGGAAAAAGATAAATACTAGGTGGTTTCTCACTTTTATGTGGGATAGAGAAACAAACAAACAAAAAAGGTCAAGAAAAGGTGTAACTAGCAGTTGGCCATAAAACTGGGGCATACTACAAAAGAGGAGGTGAGGGTGACAAAACAGGGGAGGGATAAACACAAGGGAATATAAATATAGTGATGGTTCACAGGTGAAATAGTGATGAGGGAATTGTGAAGACTGCAAATTAATTAAAATAAAAGAAATAAGGACTTTCAAATAACTTCCCTTTTCATTTGTCTAGATGGGTGCAACAAAGACAACATCCTGTTTAGCAGTCTGGCTGCTCCTCCCTATATTCAGCTCTGTGGAGGGACCAAGATATATTTATCAAGACCTGCAAAATTTCTCAAAAGGCCTGGTTCAAGATGTAGTTGGCGTAATTTTGTATTACACATCTTGAACACCATGAAATTTCATAGATTTTTATGTCATAGGTCAAGGTTTTAATTCTGCTTCCACTTTATTGCTTTTGTGTTTAGACTGCAACTCTCATAGATGCAGCCTGATGTTGCCCTCCTGATCTCAGCTTGCTATACATTTTCAGCTTATTCATTATGTCAAGAAAGAACAGAGGTTGCTTATGAAATCTCAACAAGGTCATTATGTACAATGAACTCATTGCTTCCTATATTTTTAGCCATAGGTGTTTTTTAGAAACCATCAAAAAGTACACATTTATGAATTTCTGGTGCATTCATATCTAAAAAAACTTAGTCATCAAAAGTTCCTACTTAAGATCTGCTTTGTTTTTGTGGGAACAATCAAAAAAAATTCAAAATTCCTTTTAACCATTTCTATTTCTATTTTTTTAAGAATTAATATTTCTGAGTATAAGGTCTGGGTAACTGGTAATACTCTTTGTTAGGTTTTTATTATTATTATTATTCAGGCAGCTTTTAGGATTCTATACAACCTCTGTTTGCAATGTTTTCAACTGCTTGAATTACAATTCCTTTAGACAATTTTACAACAGAGGTGGTCTAGTCTGGCAGAAAAAATATAGTCATGTATAATTTTGCATAGTATTTCTGGAGGATTCATGAAACACCCTCTTTGATTTGGGGCAAGTTCATGGACCATTCACTAAACATCCTGTTTTTAGCCTAGGTCACTGAGAAGTTCAGAGGAGTCCACATCTTTAAATGGCACTCAAACTTAGCTTGTTTCCTGTCATCAACTTTTGTAATTAGCTCTCCAAATGCTTGTTATTAGTGTGTTTCTTGAGATACTTAATTACTTTCCAGCCTCCTCAAATAATGAGAAAAACATAACAGGGGGTTTCTTTAGTTGCCATCCTCCCTTCACTGGGGACTGCAGGGGCTCATTGCATGATGATCACCAACCGCCTGTTGAGTTGTTCCATCTGCTGGACAGACCCGGATCTCCGCATCCCATCAGGGGTGGCTGCTGCTGTAGGTCGCTGCCAGGTGGTGGTGCGGTTCACATGGTCCACATAGAAGACCCGCCCATGACTGTCAATGCGAGCTTCCCAGTCTAGTGCATAATAAAAAGAAAAATCAAGGACAAAATACTGATCCATGCAAAAGAGATGCCACTTCCAGGTCTTCTAGAGGTAGAAGTCACCATTGATTACTTGCTGAAGGCCAGACACTGCCCACAGCAGCTGCCAAGCCTTCTCAGGGTTTGGTATGGAACCCACATCCAGAAAGGAGCACACTGGACTCAGAGTCACTGCTGGCTCATTTTAAACAGACACCACACTTCCTCAAATATGATCTATGTTAAAATTCTAATATTTTCTAGAGAAAAAATTCTATTTTGTGAATATTATTTATTTAAATGACAGTAGAAGATTAGATACCTCCTATAATAAAAACTGTCATGTGATATGGGGAATCCTTTCTTTGCTAAATCTGATATGAGGCGACGGAATGATAGTCTTTATATGAAAACTATTTTTAATTGTAGTTCTAATAACGTACTGTGCATGCAACTTTGTACGACCTCTAGCTTAACAATCTTGACTGATTGTCATTCCTCTTGAGAGGGAGAATGAAAGGTTTTTATACTCGGGATTTCAAACTCTCCTTTCATAAATTGCAAATTCAGAGTATATTCAACCCACTTGTGGTTGCCAAATACCTCTTAACCAAAACAAACCAAAAAACAAACAAAACCAATAACAACTATTAACAAAAATCTAATTTAGAAAAGACCTCTTTGTGGATAAATAACCATTCCAGAGAGTAGAAGGAGCTAAAGCTCCTTTACTTCTCCAATTAAAAAATACAACCAAATAAAAGTCAACTTTATAGATATTACACTACATAACAAATGTAGGAGTTGGGGTAAGGTGGACAAAGCCTTCAAAACAGAGACAGGGTGGATGTACACACATAATCTAAGCTTAGCACAGAAAAGCAATATCTAGTATTCAGAATGGACTTCTAGCATCTATAAAAATGTGGTGCAAAAAAATTCATAATAAAGTTATATTGCATTAGACTAAAGAAGAAAAAGCAAAAATGACTGCAAATGGAGGAAAACCATTCAGCCCTTTACAATGAGAAAAGCTATAGCTTTTGGGAGTAGATCAGATAGTAACAATAACACTGAAAAATCATCATTCAGGTAATGACATAGCAACTCAATTTTTTTAAGTGGAAAATTAAATGTACATTTTATATTTATGGCTTTATATGTGATAGCTTATCTGTTTGTGAACATTATGGCTTATGTATATTTTCCTGAGGGATTAGCAAATAATGTTCAATAGAAACCTAAATTTAACTACCAAAAATAGATTGATGAAAAAAAAATGTCAGATTGCACAAATGTGTTTTAGGAGGTTTAGATAAAAAATTAATTACTGTAAAGTTTTAAATGTCAATTAGTTCACTCATAAAATTGTGGTTATGTTTAATTACTTAATTCAAATATGGTAATCTTGATCCTTTTTTTTTTTTTTTTTGTTATTTCAGTGGTCTCTAAACTAGTAACAGCTGGGAATTTTTTCCCATTGAATCCAACATAACTGTTACCTAACAAAGGAGAACATTAACCTTTGAGGAGTGTCATGCTATTCGATTTAATTGAACAAATTCCTTTTAACCTCACTCTGAAATAGAAACTATGCCAGGTCCTGAGGACATATTGCTGAGTAACACATGTCCTCAGGTACCCATTGTAAAAGGAAGAATTCCTTCAAAGACAAAATTTCACTTCATAAATCTCTAAGGAAATATAATAGAGAATGGTACAGTGACAAAATGTGTAATTTCTTCCCACAGGTGTCAATGTTTCAAATTACTCCTGGAAAAGAATGGCAGGCAGACAGTATATATATATATATATATATATATATATGTATATATATATTTGTGGAGGGGGCAATATATTAAATATTTGGAATTCATAGTGTTTATTACATACTCTTAAAACATTAAGAGAATAATAGCCATATTTAATTAGAGGTTATGAATATATTATCTAGGTTGTTTTGAGAAGCATTTAATTTTATCTACTACATAAATCAAAGAAAAATCCCAAGACAATTTCAGCATGTCTCTTGATGGATTTGGCACAGAAGAGATTTATGAATATAAATATTATTCTATGATGCTGGGGCAAGTTAAAATAATTCCTTTGCATCATTCATTATGACTTATCAAACACTAAATTATATGGTGTGTCCCATGAAGTATAAGAACTAGGTGGAGCCTAATGATGTACATCTTTATTTATTAACAAAATTCTATAAAACTTACATTTTTTACTTTAACAAATACAATGCCACATTTGTAGTTTAAACTTTTCTTTTGGATTGTAGTTTACACAGGCAATTGTTTTCTTGACATTGCTACAGGGATTACATCACAAATATAACATATAACATGACGGAAACCAACTTTAGGGCTTTCACACCAAAGTCTGTTCTGTCTGCAGTCTTCCTCCTATCTTAGCTGAGGCAAATTTATCTTTCTAGGTTACAATTTTGGAGGTCATTTTTGACTCCTGTCTTCCTGTCACACTTTGCATTCAGTCTATCCGAAACTCTACCTACTAAATATATATCCAGAATCTGATTACTCTTGAGTCAAGTCACCATTGTTTCTCACTTGGGTCACTGTAATAGCCATATGTTGGGCCTCATGCTTCTATCCTTTTTCTTCATAATTTAATGCCAAGAGAGAGCCAGAGAAAACCCAAGTCAGACATCTGTGCTCCAAACCCTACAGTGTCCCCAAAGACTTACCTTATCTGGAATCCTATATTTTGCCTGACTTCCCTAGCTATTCTTAAATCTGTTCTTATGGTTCTTCAGTCCCACCAGCTTGTTTCTTGGCAGGAAACTCTTCAGTACTTGCATAGACAATTTCCCTGTCTCTTCTAAGTCTAGCTTCTAATATTGTCTTTTCAATGAAGTCTAATTGATCACACTACTTAGTTACAAAACAACCACCATTCCCTTACTTTATCTATTTCTTCATTTATTATTTTTATTGTATATTAATGTATTTTCACAAGACCAGACTGTAAGCTCCATAAGAGCAGGGATCTTTGCCTGTGATGTTTACCTCAGACAGAGTAAGCATTCAATGAGTATTTGTTGAAGAAATGACTCTCAGGTCATTAAGTCATCCATGTTTTACTTGAGATGATCTAAGAAAATCCCACTGTTAGACTTAACTGACAAATTTCAGTGTTGCATGAACAGAAAATTAAAAGCTATCTGGAGAAAATTTGTTTTTGTTTTGGTTATATTTTTTTAAAGATTTATTTAGTTATACGTACAGAGGTGTACAGGCCACTTTTGGGGTGCAGGCAGGAGTGAGAGGATTCACCAGAGACAGAGCAGGGAGCAGAACAGGCAGATAGATGAGATACACCACTGAGGGGAGCAGTGGGCAGGTCAGGAGAGGTCTGCCACGCCATGTGGATCACCTCTGGGGCCTGGGATGGAACTTGCACTGAGGCAGCTATAGCCAGCTTGCAGTACTATGTCCTAACCTGCTACGGCACCAGGGAGGGCCCTGCTTTTGTTATTAAAATCAGTTTATAAAAGTAATTAATCAAAACGCATTTAAGTTCCATTAGTTATATCTCTATGTAAAAGTATCTGTGACTACTATAGCTAGTTATAGCAACACCAACTGCTTATTGGAAGTCAATTCATGTATATACATATTGATATTTATTTTGGGGGAAGGTTATTTTTACTGGTGAGAATATGTTATAGATATTTTTCAGGTAAGTGCTAATTAGGAAGTATTTATAGTGACATGGAAATTTTACTATTCTCATGTCATATTCATAAATTAATACAAAATGAATAAAGAGAGCAAGTATAAAAAACTAAAGGATATAATGTTTGATTTGGTCCCCCAAGATAATATGATATCCCTTTAAGTCTGCCTATATTATCAAAGGTATCTGTCATTTTCTCAAGTTACAATTCAATAGAAGAATGGGCAAATGTAAAATATGCCACATTAACAAAGATAAATGAGTTAATAAATAAGCTTTTCTCCTTTTGAAACACTGCTTGATGTAAGCAAAGGCAAAAGAATGTAAAGAAACATTGATTCCTTGCATCCTGTATCTTTGCTTGTAAAATTTGCTTAAATCCAAACAGATGTTCTAAAATTCATGAACATATGTGATGGTAAGTGAATGTATAATATTTGGGGAATAATTTCCTTCTTACAAATGTATGTAATAGAGTAATATAAAATTAAAGTTTGAATGACAATCTAGAAACTTCCTTGACCAAATCAAGCATTTAGCAAAAAAAAGAAAATTATATATTTACAAATGAGAAAATGATCTCCAAAAGATTAAATGGTTTCCCCAACTTCAGATGGCTACTTAGATAATTATTAATGACATGCTACAGTCATCAGGGTAAAATGATATTGAATTCTATCCCTAAAGATGACATTTTTCCTGGCAATCCCTATCAACTTCAAAAGAAGTTTGAGGTCATCACTTGTTGATGTAAATTATAGGAAGAAAAAGCAAGTTTGTGGGTTCTGATGGATTGAAGTCATCTCAGGTCCAATGGAGAATAATAAGATGATGCCATCTTGAACTGTTAACTTTAAAGTATAAAACAGAAAATTTGGGGACTTACAGTTTTTGAAGCAATTTGCAAGACAAGTTAAATCTTGTAAAGAAATGCTCATCATTTTGGAAGTTGAGGGGCACTAAAAGTTCTGGGTTATCTCTTCAAGATCACATGTTGAAACCACTAGTCAGAAAGAGTCAATTTCTACAGTAGGTACCAAATTTTGATAACAGTGTAGGGTGTATTGGAGAAGAGTTTGAATGTTTACATATAAGTTCATACTGACCTGTGTAGACTTGATAGGGAGAGTTAAGACATAGATTTTAAAAACTAAAGCTTACTTGGTGGAAGAGGCTCATCGATTGTTGGGTAGTGATGATGTTCAGGCCTCAATGAAGGAAGCTGGCTTACTGGCTGGGAATTATGGAGTATAGGACATTCACCTATGGACAAGATAGTCAAGACATACAGATTCATTCATTACTGTGGCAAAGGCATACAGATTTATTCATTGCTGTGGCAATGGCATCAAAAAAGCATGATTGTCAAACTACTATGAGAAATAACGTAAAAGAGTGGGCAAGCTATATGTTGAATTAGTTTGCAACATTCAGTCATTCATGAGAGAGGTTACAGAGGAAATAATTAAGAAAAAAAAACCTGAAGGAAATTGTCAAACAATTCATGATTTTGAGCTATACCTCATAAGTCAATACAAAGGATCAGAATCTGATTCTGTAATCTGAATTTTCTTGATAGATAGGTGGCATCAGAAAAGGACACAGAGAAAATTAGTACAGCCTGACTAATTCAGCAAAAGAAACAGGTTGCGGGAAGTGCAGCATTTATAAGGGCCCTTATAATCTATCTGGGCCTGTCCAAAATTACAGGTCTCTGGAGAAGTATCACTGAAGGACTGCCAAGAGGCATTTTTCAGATTTTGTTTTTGGAATGAAACTCTCAGTTGGTGCCTTTCCAAGAGGAAGTCAAGGAAATAGTAGGACAAGAGGTAAATATATATAGTATGAAAGCTGGGAGCTAGTTGGGGAGGCAAGAAACTATGGGATCTTGTGATTATTCTAGGTTATTTTGAGGAAGAACCAGATAAGCCAAGTGCTCTGGAAAGAGAAAAGGACAAGAGACAAATGAAGTAGATCAGAGGCAGAAGACTGAGACAGGAAAACTTGAAACACAGAAGTGGGATAGAAGGAAGAAGAAAACAGACATGGAGAAATTTTAGAAATAAACATTCATAGAATGTGCATTTTGATTATAACTAATATTACTGTCAGACAGCTTGTAGTGAAGTATACAATGTTCCAAACAATGTCCTCAGGTTCTGGTACCCAGTACTGTAAGGAGAGTGGTGTGTGAATGGATGCCTACAGCACAGCTGTTTGAGTCACATAATTGCTCTTTTTCTTTGGAGAGCTAGAAGGTCCCAGGTCATAAAATAGCTCATATTCAAACTGGTTTCCTCCTGCCTGATGGAATCTTGGCTTTTTCCCAATTGTCATAGAGTAAAGATCTGGCTTACTCCTTCCTCTCTCTTCCATGCCTGATGCAAATAAGTGTTTTGTTATCCCTTGTATCAAAAAAGGAAAATAAACTGAAAAACAGTTGTTAGAAATAATATTTCTCTCTAGATCCATAGGACTGCTAAACAAATGTATTAGGAAGAAAGCAATGCAATTTTAATTTAGCAATTTAATTACTAGAGCTGACCAAGAAAGGTAGAGATATATGCAGGAAATAAGGATCCTTTTAGTTTTTGTTTGTAGTCTCTTTCTTTAATTTATTTACTTTATTATTTTAATTTAGGGATTACATTTTTATGCTTCCACACTTTCCACTTGCCCTCCACCAAATCACAGGTGCCAGAACCACAACAAGTCATTTTAAATGTTGAATATAGAGTATTATTTCTTGTGAAAGTTTTGGTATGTTACTCATATCCTTGGGATCCTCTGAGATGCTAATGAAAGTAAATGAAGGTGGCCCCCATACTAGGATATGCACCTGTGTTCTGTGTATACCATACCCATGTCTCTCTTTATATGTGTTTAGTTTCAGAAATGAAAAAACAGTATACAGTTGTTATGTCACCAGCTGTAGCATTTTAAATTTAGTTTCTTAAGAAAACAATAAAACAAAACTTACCTCAAAATTAATTCAACCAAACAGGTTAATCTCTCCTCCAAGCTAGAGTAAACACAAACTGCAGCTTGCAGGATTAATGGAGCTGACCCTACCTGCTGTGAAACCCAAGCAAATGCAATGATATGACTGAAGCAGCTCAGCCAACTGAATGGATAGAGCATAGAGAAGCAAGCGATTCAGTTCTGCACAAGGACACAGCTCCACACACTCACCCTTGTCTCACATACAGACCTGGTAGAACTCATGAGAAGGAAACATATTCCACTTTGAAAGTGAGCTTTACTGTCTGAAAATAAACCCTCACTCAGTGAGAACTCAAACACTTTAAATGTATCATCACCTTTTATTCTTCTAGTATCCCCATGAGGTCATTTCTACTTTATACCCATTTTACACTCTTAGGTAACTTAGCTAAGGTAGGATGAATATTCACCCAGAATACCTGACACAAGGAACTGAGTTCATAATCAAGATATCATATTGCAATTTTCACTCCAGATCTTAGTTACATTATATTGTTTTTTTTTTTATTTGATCTGAAGAGTTTTAAAAAACTATTTGAGCTTTAAAAAAAGGTTTTTATATGGGGAATATAATCAAAAAGTAAATAAAGAACTAAGTTGCTACAGACTGAGCTACTAGGCATGTGTGTAATTAAATCAACCTTAACTACTTAGTGAAGAATTTATAATCTTAGAAGTCACAGCTGGAGGCGATAGTGAGTTTTCTGGAAGAAGAGGGCATCATGCTTTTATCAGGCAGCTTGTGCCTATGTCATATTCTTTTTTCTTTTTTTTTAAATGGAAACCACCTCCCAAAAATCTAGGGGAGGAAGTACCTTTTTTTTTTTTTTAAAGATTTATTCATTTACTCATACAGAACTGGGGTACAGGCCAGAGATGCAGAGGGCAAGAGGATCCACCAGGAACAGAGTGGGGAGCAGAACAAGCAGATCGACGAAGTACACTGCTGAGGGGAGCAGCGGGTGGGCCAGGAGAGGTCTGCCATGCCATGTGGATCTTCTCCCGGGCAGGCGGGGATCGAACTCATAAGGAAGTGGCTTAAGCTTCTTAGTGCAGTGCTTTAACCCACTGCGCCACCAGGGAGGGCCAATGTCATGTTCTTTAAATGTGCTTTTGGAATCCTGAGGCATGTGAGCCACAGTGCTGACACCATTAAGCCAGGGACTCACTGCCAAGGGAGGGAAGCCTGCCTGAAAGGTCATGTGTCCATGTATGCATGGCCTGCCTTAGATCAACAGTTCCTCTTGGGAATCTTCACCTTGCCCTTGTACAACCATAGTGAAGATTCTGTGTGCTTCTTAACCTTTTCTGAGCATATAGTCTGCAGAATTCAGGAATCTAGATATTTTTTAAGAAAATGCTATGCAAAGACTTCCATTAAAGGCCATGAAACACTTGGCTGTCCTTTCTTTGATGGGGGTGGCTTCCTTCTGCTAGAGAGTTAATCCCTCAAGGACATGGACAGTATCTTTTTTGTAAAGTATGTTTTTACATATATGTACACTGAACCAATTTTAGCTGTGTGTGATTGATTCTAAAACCAAAGTTCAACATACATATACCTGATAGGCTACAGTGTTTTGACAAATTGAGCCTTATTTTTGTATGGCTTCCAGCTGAGAATGGCTATTACATTTTAAAATGTAAATATGTTTAAATAAATAGTCTTTTGGTTAGACCAGTTGTTGGTTTTGCCTCTTCACAAACAAAGTCTAAAATATTTACTATCTGGTCCTTTAAAAAAGTTTGTTGATCTCTAGTCAAAGTATTCTTTCAAGCTTCTAGTTGTGTCCCTTTAGGTATATATCCCCCAGACCCCATATACTAATTCTGATGTAATGATTGTGTCATCTATACATTGTCTGATGCCAAGCCAACTTTTGTTCCCAGAAATATCTAGATCTGATCTAGAATGAAAGTATTCAAAACTCCCATGTTAAAGAAAAGAATTGTCCACCCCATTATCACACTGTTGAGTGCTTTCCATATTGCATGTCCCTACATATTTCCTTCCTGTGTTCCTCTTTCTTTACCAATTTACATGCTCTTCTTTTTATCAATGGCTCTTTCTCTGAAATGCAGAATTGAACATCATTGAGTACTTAAAAATACTTTTTTTGTGTACTCTTTAGTTCCTGTAAAACTTTTTAGGTGCCAGACATTTTTTAAGGTGCTGATAATTCAAACATAAGGAAGATACAATCTGGCCCTTGATGAGCTTACAATCTAGAGACACACCACAATTGTTTGGAAGCAATTTAAACAGTAAAAGAACAAACTAGCAGAATCTAAATTCTTTTAAACGAAATGAATATTTTATATTTTATGTGATCTTTCAAAATTTCCCCCTATGTGACTGTCACTTGACTGAAATATTGTTTCCAATTCTGGTTAAGAAAATGCAAACTTAGTTGAGACTAAAAAGGAATAATGGTTTGGTTAAAATACAGAAATACATTTTAAAACTAAAAGTGACAGCTTTTGGATTAGACTTGAAACAAATTGATTTGCATAGTAATGTTACTCTTTCCTTTCATTGCCACAATAGGCCAAAGACAAGAACAACAACAACAAACAAAGCCAATAATGAGAACTGAGCAAACAAATAATGACACATATGTGTAGGCTATACATATCCAGATACACACAAACTAGTTAAATTCTAAAACAGAGGTCAAATCAATGTTCTTCAATAGACATTAACATTTGTTGCTAATCTTCAATAAGTTTCAGGAAGCCAGCGGATGTTTACCAGCTGTCTACCTACAGTTGATGGATGACTGGCTCCTGTTTTTGCCATTTGATACTGGTGCTCTGGTTGCTGGCATGTCTAGAAAGGTAATAAATACTTCTACCAGTTCTGCTGAATTGGTTATAGCAGAAGCACACACACCAGGGCACACTCAAATGTGTGCACTAGTTATAATTCTTGGTGTATATCTGAGAGGTGGTGGGTGTCTGCTCTTCATAGTCACAAATACTTACATACACATAGACACATGCACACATATATGTACAGAACAGCCATACGTTGCCACAGCAACCTCACGTGGGTCGATCCTCTCTCGTTTTAAAACCAAGTTGGTGAAACCTATGTCCCCCTGGTGATCCTATCTCACTCTGATCAGGTTTGAGGTCTAACCTTCTCTCCGATGGCTTGGCCCTGCCATGGGGGACTCCAGACCTTCCACAAATCTTGTCATACTCCCAGCGGGGGCAGTCATCTCATCTTGCCATGGCCCAGCGCCGTTCACGGACTCCGGGTCCAACTCTGGGCTCTGCACTGAATCTGGTAACGATTCGAATGCACTATTTTCCTCCTCGTCGTCTTGCGAGGAGAATACAGTGCTTTCGGAGATCTTAGCGCTGTCCACCGAGGAAAAGCGGGTGTGGCTGGCGAACCTGCTGCCATTGTAACAGGAGGGGCTATAGCAGGAGGCGCTGTAGCAGGAGCTACTGTAGCAGGACGTGCTGTAACACGAGGAGCTGTAGCAGGAGGGGCTGCAGCACGATGCATCGCAGCCCTCGCAGCTATGATCCCCACCTTGCCTTGGGCTGGAGTCGCTCTCACTCCCGGTGCTGGGGTGTGCGTTACCATCCAGAATCAGTCCATTGGCCAAGCCTGAATGGCCAGGAGGCGCCCTTCCTGGAGTTGCCCCCTCGGGTTCCTCTCCATCCTCCTCCAAAGGAGGTGGCTCAGCAGCCACAGTGTCCACCTCGCTGAGCCCATCCTTCTCCGAGGTGTCCTTGAGGGTGGACTCCTCCTCCGCCCCATCATCCTCTGCGCTTGCATTGTGGGCTGTGGGCAAGCTGTGTAGCAGGGTGTGGATGCGGATGTAGTGTGTCCGCGGTGTTTCAGGGTCACCACAAGCCGATGCAATTACTGTCTCCAGCTCAGATACGGGCAAGGAGCATGGTCTACTTTTTCGCTTCATGGAGCCCCGCAATTGCAGACTGTTCTCTCCCTGCCGTAAGGCAGACACATCCCCCTCCTCCTCCTCTGCAGGCTCCTTCTCTTCTGTCCCCTCAGCCTGGCTCTCTGTCACAGCTTCCTCTGCTACAGGCTCCTCAGGACTACATGGACCTTCATCATCCTCCAGTAGCCCGGGTGGAGCCTCCACCCCACACAGGTCTGGCCTCTCGGCCAGTTCTTCATTCAGTACAAGCTGAGTATCCTCACTACCCAAGGCCAAAAGCTCCCCCGTCCAATCAGGACCCACAGAGACCAAGTTGCTATCTCCTGCTTGAGTGCTATTTGCTGCTTCCTCAACAGGGTTGGCTAGTCCTAGGCTCTCATTGTTTTCAGTGTCCATGATGCTGCCCTCACTGGGCTGCTCCACTTTCAGGCTCTCTGAGGGCTCTGGTGCTTGGTACAAAGGCTCTCCATTGCTGTTTGTCATCTGGTTGTTCATGGGGGTTTCCTGAATTTCCACTGACTCGGGTTCAGTACTGAGGGAAATCTCTTCATCATCTGCCAGCAAGAAAAAAAAAATCATTTTTTTTTTACAGAAAAGAGCATTGTGGTGGATGAGTATACTCTGCCAAACATGTAAGTCATTGCTAAGGGATTTTTGCTTTACGATACTAGATGTCAGAGTTAATGAGTGGTTCTCATTGGCAGAAGCTCTGCTGAAAAATTCTGTATGAATGAGTTTCCTATGTTAATGCCAATTTGTAGTTGTGGTAGATTTCAGAATTCTGTGTCAAGGAAATTAATTTTTTGGTTAAAAAACCCAAAGTCTAGCACTATCCCAGCTCTGGGCACACCCATGGTGCTCAACAATGTTTGCTACTGGTAGGCTATAGGTCCTTGTTGATATCAGGCTAAATAGATATGTTTGCTAAAGTTGTTCTGTCAGGATAACAGAACGGGTAAGTCAGATATTCAGATAAGAATGAGTGGAAGAAAACCATAGTGGAAGAAACTAAATGGCTTCCAACATTTCCAGATTATTGCAATGGAAAGATAAAATGAGGTCTCCATACAGAGCAATCATTCAAGCGACCAATTTACCTCCTCCTTCCCCCTGTTGCTTCACTGGATCCCTGCCAAATGTGAACTTCACCTTTCAAATATACCAGTGCAATTCACTAAACAGAGGAAAACAATCTCTCTCCTATTACTGTAAGGTTGTTCTTATTGCTACAGTGTAAGAGTCAGTTTTATGTGCAGAATGTAGAGAAGATTTAATTTGAAAGAACCAATAATCAGGATGTTTTCTCACAGTATGTATTATATAGATTAGAGAAAAGAGAAAACAGAGTTCAATGAATTAGTAGTGATAAACTCCAGACTCTGAGTTCTCAAATGTTTCATTAGCTTTAATAATAAGTCATAAAATTGGCCTAGGAACACCAAACAATTCTCAATATGATCTGCACTTACTATGGGGTTTATGCAAGAAAAGCAAAACTGGAATTATGATGCATTTCATTATGCTTATCTATAAATATGTTTTGACTTGAAAAACTGAATATTAGATGATGTTGAAACTGTCTGAAAATTTTGCAGCTTTCATATTTCCCTGTTACATTGTAAAAATCCATTGAACAATCATAGTTCTTTGACAATGCATATATTCATTTGTTTCTCATTCATTCATTCATGCATGCACTTACTCATGTATACAATGAGTAAACATCTATTCAGCACCTCCTATTTGGAAACTGTTAGCAAAATGATAAATTAGAGTTGGCTCCATAACTATGTTGGCATCATTGCCAATCCCCACTCTATTGTCTACTTTGGGGTAGCAGAATGAGGAGGAGCATCTTAATCAAAGGCTTGCACACCTGGCTTTCAGAACAGATTACTGAATTCTGTGTATAAAATGGAAGAAAGAGAAAACTATAAAACCTAGAATATACCTGGAGAGGATCATAATTATTAGATTTTAAACAAAGGAACCTTGCATCATGTCACTAGACAAGGACAAGACACAAAGTTCAGGCTGAAAATACCTGGGTGGATGGAGGAAGTAATCTCAAATCGGAATTGCAGCTGTCCACTCACATGATCTGTTGGAAGTCTGCGGCCCAATGTGTAGCTGACCACTCTATCCCTAAAAGGAAATAAGTGCCATAAAAAAAATCTGGTGAATATCTCTCTTTGGGACTATACACTGTGCTTTCCATGCTGGCAGTTGAGGTAGGCAAGCCTAGAGATGGCCTGCTAGCAGGAGGTAATGATTTGCTCAGGTGATATGAGATAATACTAAGGTAAAGATGGAAAGCTTAGCTGGTCAATAACATTGAAAACCTTTGAGAAACTCCTCACTGGATAAACTAAAGCTGAAATGAAACTACAACCTATGGGCCTCAACTTGTACACCTATGAGCTTTACACAGTTTTAAATAGTTAGGGGAAAAGTCTAAGAGTAATATTTTGTGACATACATACAAGATTATATGAAATTTAAATTTCAGTTTCCAAATATAAAAGCATTCCTGGAATGCAGCCATGCTTACTGGATAGCTGTCTGTGTCTGTTTTCATGCTATAATGGCAGAGCTGAGCAATAGGAACAGACTATATAATGTACAAAGCCTAAAATATTTGCTACCTGATTTTCTACAAAAAGGTTGACCACCTGTATTCTAAAGAAAAAGAAAAAGGAAGGGAAAAAAATAATGGAAGGTGGGAGGAAGGAAGAGAGAGAGAGAGAGAGAAGGAGAGAAGGAGAGAGAGAGAAGGAGAGAAGGAAAGAAGACATTTTGCTTGCTTTTCCTGTTCAGGTATTTTCCAGTGTGACCTAAATAATGGACAGAACCAGCAGCAGATGCTTCTGTGATATATAGGGATACTGTGTAAGCAAGAATGCTGCACAGGTAAGGGACTCCCATGGAACACCTGAGCCTGCTACAGAGAAGCAAGGCTCATGAGCTAGTTTCACTGACCTGGGATTTCCAATTACACCAATTCCAGGATCCCACACAGAGACTCTGAAACTCCACCTAGGACTTTGGCATCATCCCCTCTGCCTCCTCAAGGCAAGTTATTAATTATGGAAAGGAAAATTAGTTGGAGGAAAACAACTTGAAACCTTACTGTTACAGCTTCACCAGTAATGTAGCTTTAACAGAGTACATTGTCCCTTACCTTAAGCTAAATAACAGGAATAAATATCTTTGGAGATTTAGGGATTAACAAATCTGGTGTGACCAATAGTAGAAAAGATATATTTCAAAACCAATTGTTATTTAGATGATTCTGTATTCACTCCATTTATTTATTTTTGATATTCAAATAAAAAGAAAAATTTCTTCCGGATGTTTTAATCACATGTCTAGGAAAACATCAAAATAAAGAAACAACATATTCCAATGATCAACATATATCAATGAATTAGTAGTTTTCTTGGGTAAGCCATGTTTAGTTTTTAAAATTCATTAAATAAAGCATTATATATAATAAAAGTAAGTCACAATGTTTTCTTTATTGGAAGGGTCTTGGGTCAATATTATGATGTAGACTTACAATGATCATATGAAATATATCCTACACTCAAACGCTAGTTGAAATTGTGGAGACATAAAGACAAAGCTTAAATTATTTATGCTGTATATTGGCTTTCTGGGCTTTTGTTGCATTTGCTCTCCACCTAATTTATCAACAAGTTTCGAGCATGTGCTATGTAAAAGTGCCTCCATTGATAATATGCATGTCATACATAGTAGTCCTTGTGTTTCAATATCTTACATCCTTATGGGAGAATAAGGCAGAAGTATTAAATAAGGACTCCAGGCAGCATGTGATATTTTCAAGTTGAAGGTGATATGGGTGGGATTAGAAAAATTTAGGAAAGGCAGAGAGAATCAGCTTGGGGTTGAGATATTAGAAAAAAAGGAGTAGAAGTTACATTAAAAATGAGAATGTGCATGAGCCTGCAAAAAGCAGGAATAAATATCAGAGGCAGGAAATAGACCATGCAGACAGAACATGCGTTTTTCAGGAGTGAATGCAGGGGCATAGATTCTTAAAGACTATATCCACTGAGGGCAGAAGGAGCCATGGAGCAACATGGGTGTGCATTTGTGCCAGTAATGCTTTGGGATTTACCATGGCCCAGGCTTAAAAAGCCAGTGTTTCTACATAGGGAGCATAGCCCTTTTCTACAATGTGAGACCTGCAGAAAGAACAGTGCTGCAAAATTGGTCTCCAGGAATGATGGAAAGCAGCAGGCTTTAGGAGGGAGAATTGATAACCCTTTCCTTCTAAGGCTGGCCTGTTACTCCTTCAGAGGTGGTAAGGAGAGAATGTAACTAAGGATGCTATTGCTTCTACTTAGAGATGATTTAAGATTAACTATACTCTATGTGTGCATCTCCTTATCCTTGTATAGTGAGAACATCAAGGGAAAAATCTTAGCTAATCTTTTTCTGGTGAGGGAGATCTTTTCTACCTCAGTTAGATTTTACTCTCTGGGATGTGTCTTTCCACAGAAGGAAGTAGAAAGTTAAGAAGGCTGGGCAAACAGGCAAAGGCTGGACAATTTGATTTATGAAATGAAACTTCCAATGACATAGACAAGGAGGTGGCTTCTCTCTGTGGCTCTAATGAACAGAACAGGGAAGTTCAATTCAACAGAATCTCTAATGCATATTAGGCAACTGTGTGCTCAGTGCTGAGGTATAAAGATCCTACCCAGCCCGGGTCTTTATGTCCTCCAGGCCTCCCTCTGGCAGAAGTGTTAGCACCATGCCAGCAGACAATAGGCAAGAGAAGGATAAAGTTAAAAAAAAAAAAAAGTGGCCAATTGTACCAGGAAACTTTCAAGGAGTATTTTGCAGAAGAAGCAAGGCAGTTTTGGAGAGAGGCTTGTATGAGTTTGAAATCTGGCTGCATTGTGCTACTCACAAGTGTGTCTTATGCAATTATGCATCCATTCTAAACTTTGATTTCTCATGTAGAAGAATGGTGATAATGCTTAAGTCACAGATGTACTATGAAGATTAAATTAAAAAACAGTGATCATAAAAATTACTGTTCCCTTCTTAGCTCCTACGCATTGCCAGTTTTGCTGCTTGTCCTATATGTACATTTCTTTGCTTGTATGCTTAATTCTCACAAGTGGAAAGTACAGATGTAACTTGACACATGGCTATAGCTCCACATGTGTCAACTCTCTTTCACTTGAAAGTTAATAGCAGTGAACCTCTGTACATAGCTACATACTTGCTATACCTTTCCAATGAAATGTGATTAAAACAATCATTGTGTGTTTAAAGTTGCACTACATTCAAAAAGCTTTAAGTTAAGACACTTAGAAACTGTGCATAATTTTTCTTATTTCTTTATATCATTCTGAAAATTACATTGTTTTGAAGCAACATTGATGATCTGTGGACTATACTTAGTGTCTTAGAATATAATTGCCTCTTACATAAGAAAATTCATAATGTACATAAGAATTTTATCTTCCCTGAAACTATTTTAATGAGAATCATGAGTGGGTATGAACATTAAAGATACAAAACACAGAAATAGAAGAGTATTTTCATGTATAGCTAAATTGTTTCAGAAACATAATTGCTGCCATTTCATGAGCTGAGCATTTGTGATTTCAAATTTTTATTTTATCTACTATTTTCTACAAACACTAGCATTTTCTAAGAGTCTGCAGTGATTAAACATTTCATGTTATGAAATGTTACCAATGACATAAGAATGAAAGTATATTATTTATAGCAAAACAAACTTAATTTGCTGTACTGTGTGTTTCTTTCAATATTGTGTCATAGACTTTTCACTCTTCTGCCTAATTGATCAGTGATAAACAAACACAGGCAAAGTGAAAGGCTTGTTTAATTAAAGTTATGGCTTGAGCAACATAATTAATACAAAAAGCCAAGGAAATTCAACTATCATAATTTTAGTTCAGTCTCTATGAGATTATACTGTTGCAGCTCACATGTCTCCCTTGGGCAAGGTCTGCTGGCTGCAGCCTAGTGATATTTAGGTCACAGGTTTACCCTATGGCGTGTCTCTCCAGTAGTCTCTGAACAGGCATCGATAACTTTCCCAAGAAGCGCTTGATGATGGGGCGGCTCTTAGCAAACTTGTCCTTCACCTCAATTTCCAGCACATCAGTGGGTAAAGAAACAAAGCTGAATTGCTGCAATGAAATGATACATCACATCAATTAGCTCAGATGTACAGGGTTGAATGATTCCCAGTCCTTCTGCCTGTGACATCACTAAAATATCCAATGTTCTGTACACACACATACAGGCACATATAGACATTGGTCTTAGAAACTATGAACCTGGGTTTTTTCTTTAAATGAATACTACTAATAATATGGGGCTTCTTGGTTCTTAAAAATGAGGTTATTTTCTGGGATCCAACAATAAAATCAACTTCTCTTAAAGAGAAAGTATACTACCTGGTCCTCATACTTGAATAATTTTGGGGGAAATCAAAGGAGAAAGTTATGTGGAGAGTAACAAAAATTAAGAGACATCTATCTACCATACCTATACGATAGATACTATTAAGAGGAAAGCACATAGCAATAGAATAGCACATAGTTCATAGCAATAGAATAGCACATCAATGAACAGGAAACTTTCAAATAAGTACTCTTAACTCTACATTTGAAGAAACTAGAAAAAGGATAAACAACACAAAATATCATTACAATGAAGAAAATAAATGAAAGAAAAATAAAAACGTATAAGAGATCTATGAACTCAAGAGCTGGTTCTTTGAAATAAATAAAATTGATAAGTCCTTACCTAGGGTTACTATGTGAAAAGAGAATCAGAAACTAAAGTCTAAATTACAACATAGGCTGCAGGAATATAGATGATCATAATAAACTGCTAAAAATCCATTGTGATTAATTGGGATTCAGTCCAGGGATACAAGATTCATTACATGAAAATCAATGTCATTTACCACATAAACTAAAAGATAAAATCATATGACTATTTCAGTAGACATTGAAATAGCATTTGATGAGCCTTCAGCCATTTGTGTTAAAAAATCATAGTAAAATGGGAATAACAGGGGTACATCTCAACATAAAAAGGCCATATATAGCAAAATCATAGCAAATATAATCCTTAATGGTGAAAAACTGAAAGCATTTCCCCTGTGATCAAGAAAAAACAAGAATGTGCATTTTCACGTCCTATGGGCTCTCTTCTTACCAGAGTAATCAGGCGAAAAAAAGATATAATTAGAATCCAAGTTGTAAATGAAGAAGTGACACTATCACTATCCACAGAAGATATTAATATACATACAAATCCAAAAACTCTACCAAAAATCTACTATAAGTAAATTAATGATGTAATATGGAGACTAAAATATTAATACACAAAATTCATTCTGTTTTTATATACAAGCTGTGAATTAGTGGAAAGAGAAATTAAGAAAACAAACCATTTATATCACACTAAAAAGGATAAAATACCTGGGGGTAAATTTAACAAAGGAGGTGAAAGACCAATACAATATAAAGTAAAAACTTCTTAAAGAAAATAAGAAAAACACAAAGAAATGTAAAGATATTCCTTGTTTATAATTGGATGAACAAATCTTTTAAATTCTCATATTTATTAAATAAATTTACAAATTCACATTACCTATCAAAATCTCAGTGACATTTTCAAGGAAAAAAATTTAACTGTTATAAAATTTATATGGAACCACAGAAGACCATGAATAACTAAAGCAATACTGAAGAAAAGAAGTAAAATTGAAGTGTTACATTATACCACTTCAAGCTACAGTGCCAGTAGTTAAAACTGTGTGGTATTGGAATAAAAAAGGGAAAACACAGAGAAGTGGAATATAATTGAGAGTCCCAGAGTAAATCCACATAAATATGGAGTCATGACCATACAATGGGAGACTAACCATATTGTAAAACTTGGACACACAAGTTAAGTTAGATTATTAGTTTACTCCATACACAAAAATTATTTCAAAATGTATTGAAGACTTGGGTATAAATTCTGAATACATAAAATGCATAAAAGAAAACAGAAGAAATATACTCCTGGATGTCAACCATGAAGTCGCATTTGGTAATATAATCCTAATGGCAAGTGAAATAAAAGCAAAAATAAACAACTGGGGCCACATCAAATCCAAATGAAAAAGTCTTTTTACAACAAAACCAACCACAACAAAACTAAAATGGCCTCCTATGGACTGAAGTTATTTACTTATCACATGTCTGAAAAATGGTTAATTTCCAAGACAGCTCATATAATTCAGCTACAACAAAAGACAAACAACCCAATCAAATAATGGACAAGAGAAATTCAGATATTCTGTACAGGCACATAAAAAAAAAGTTTAATATTTCCTGTTAGAGAAATGCAAATCAAAACTACAATGAGATGTCACTTCAGCCCTCTCTCTATCAAATGGCCTGGAAACAAATGTTGGTGAGTATGTTTAGAAAAATTAACACTAATCCACTATTGGTGAGATATAATTTGGTGCAGCATCTATGGAAAACATTATGAAGATTCTTCAAATAAATAGTAATGGAAATAACATATGATCCAGCAATACTACTTATAGATATTTATAGAAAGAATATGAAAACACTAATACAAAAGTATTTATGTACTCCCTATGCCCACTGCGCATTCTTCACAATAGTTAAATCATGGTTACAATTTTCCCTACTTTTGTCTTTCCTGTGCTGTCTTTTCATCCAGACAAATGCCCATAGTGTATTCTTCACAATAGTTAAATCATGGTTACAATTTTCCCTACTTTTATCTTTCCATCCAAATAAATGGTCTCATTATTGGTCAAAAGGACAATCTTTAGAATATATCTGAAAAATATATATTTTTTAAAAGGGTAAGATGGTGACAGAATGAAAACACTAGACTCAACTCTTGCATGTATCCACAGTTATATTGCAACAGAAGACATCCAATAACTCCTAAAGAAAAATAGTATATACTAGGCATAACAACCAGAAGAAGGGGATCTCAGTGGGCTAATCAGGTAGCCCACAAAGGAGGCCTTATGGGCCATGCTAATAGCAGAATAGAAATGGCAAGAGCATTACACAGTAACAGCATGCCCAGGCCCTGGAATAGAATCTGGAAATGGACCTACTACTTTAGGTCTACAGAGTTATCATCACTGTCATTGATTAGCTCTGGAGCATATCCTGGAGGTAGATCCACCAAAGTAAGCTTCAATAGACACTGGCACAGAAATTAACAAGCCCAGTTGGTGGGTCCTACAAACAGTCCTATCAGCAATAGTCCTTAGAAGACTTCAGTGACACCAAGAAGAGTTCAGGAAGCGTATCTGCTAAGGTAAGGCTCTATAGATCTCAGTAGAACCCTGGGACAAGTCTTGGAAACTGCTGTTCTTGTGGTAGGTCCCTCACTAAACTCAGTGAGGGAAAGGTCCTAGAAGCATACTTTACTATAGTAGGTTACTGTAGACCTCAGTAAAACCTAGGATGGGACTGGAAAGAAAACCTTCTGCAGTAAGACTCAAAAGACTTCAGAGGATGGTCCAGGGAAATAATCCATACTGGTAGGTCTCAAAAAACAGTGGAGCAGACCCTGCCAAGGGGCCTGGAACAGGAAACTACAACATCTGGTACCAATGGGACTAGTACTAGAGGAACACTAGAGGACAAGAAGTGACAGGTACAGACTCAATAAGGTTTACATAAGGACATTCATACTACAGTGAGCAGGAAGTAGGTAGAAAGAAGAACCTGTGGATTGTGGTATAGATTTGAGAACATTGGTGACAGGGTGCTCAGTTTGGCCAGAATCATTGGGGAAAGGAGAGCAGAAGTGTGAAGCCATAATCCGTTGCAAGAGGTGAAAACCTTGTGGAGGAGCTGGGGGTCTCCACACACACCAGGTTTCCAGTAAAGTTACTAACAGAGCAGGAATTATGATTTGTACTCTGCTCCCATCCCTGGGATAAATATCTACTTTTAGGAGTGTACTGATAGTACAGGGACTGGCAAGTTTTCATCCCCAAATCCAAAGTGGAAGGTGATTGTGAGTGCCATACATATGAACCAATTCAACCCAGCTCATCCACACCAATATCTGTATCCCTCCAAGTCCCTGCCCACTCCACACACTCAGCAGAAACTCTACAGGCAAGGAGAAAATGAAATTTTGTACTCACAATAATCAAAGAGAAAACATTTAGTCAATAATACTACATACACATCACTTTTAGATATGGTGGAGAAATAAAGTCATTCTGAGGCAAACAAAAGCTGAATGAGTTCACAAATACTAGCCCTAATCTACAAGGAAAGTTGACAGCCACACTTTAAGTAAAATAATTAATAAATTGAAACAGAATCAAGATAAAATGACAGCAGCAAATACTCATATCAATAACCACAATAAATATAAATAGTCTTACCTCATCAATCAAAAAGCACATAGAAGGTTGTTGGATCAGAAAATAAAAATCAAATTTATGTTGTCTTCAAGAATACTCAAAAGATCAATGAAATCATAAGCTGGTTCTTTGAAAAATAAACAGAATAGACAAACATCTAACTACACTCACTAATAAAAAAAAAAAAAGGGAGAAACCTCAAATAGAATCACAACAGAACTAGAAGATCTCACTACAGAAACCTCAGAAATTCAGAGGGTCATGAGACTACTATGAAAACTTTATAGCAAAAATCATAAAATCTGGAAGAAATAGACTAATTCTTAGAAGCATAAAAGCATCTAAAACGTATCATGTAAACATAGAAAACTGGAACATGCCAATTACAAGCAAGGAAAGTGACACAGTAATCAAAAGTCTCCTTAAAAATAGTGGTTTCACTAGTGGGTTCCATCAAACCTTCAAAAAAAAAATTACTACCTTTCTCAATCTCTTCCAAAAAAATTGAGGAAGAGGGAATGTTCCCAGTCACATTTTATGAATCCAACATTATTCTATTACTGAAAGCACAGAAGAACATCACCAAAAGGCCAATTTTCTTGATCAACACATGCAAAATTCCTCATGGAAACCTAGCAAAATGTTAAGAGTACTATACATCATGAACAAGTGGACCTTATTCCAGAGATGTAGGAATGGTTCTGAAATCAATAAATGTAAATCACCACACCAACATATTGAAAGAAATAA